GTATACAATGTTGTGAGTGCACTGTATACAATGTTGTGAGTGTACTGTATACAATGTTGTGAGTGTACTGTATACAATGTTGTGAGTGCACTGTATACAATGTTGCGAGTGTACTGTATACAATGTTGTGAGTGTACTGTATACAATGTTGCGAGTGCACTGTATACAATGTTGTGAGTGTACTGTATACAATGTTGTGAGTGCACTGTATACAATGTTGTGGGTGTACTGTATACAATGTTGTGTGTGCACTGTATACAATGTTGTGAGTGTACTGTATACAATGTTGTGAGTGCACTGTATACAATGTTGTGGGTGTACTGTATACAATGTTGTGTGTGCACTGTATACAATGTTGTGAGTGTACTGTATACAATGTTGTGAGTGCACTGTATACAATGTTGTGGGTGTATTGTATACAATGTTGTGTGTGCACTGTATACAATGTTGTGAGTGTACTGTATACAATGTTGTGAGTGCACTGTATACAATGTTGTGGGTGTATTGTATACAATGTTGTGTGTGCACTGTATACAATGTTGTGAGTGTACTGTATACAATGTTGTGAGTGCACTGTATACAATGTTGTGAGTGCACTGTATACAATGTTGTGGGTGTACTGTATACAATGTTGTGTGTGCACTGTATACAATGTTGTGAGTGCACTTATACAATGTTGTGGGTGTACTGTATACAATGTTGTGTGTGCACTGTATACAATGTTGTGAGTGCACTGTATACTATGTTGTGGGTGCACTGTATACAATGTTGTGAGTGCACTGTATACAATGCTGTGAGTGCAATGTTTTGAGTGCACTGTATACAATGTTGTGAGTGCACTGTATACAATGTTGTGAGTGCACTGTATACAATGTTGTGAGTGCACTGTATACAATGCTGTGAGTGCACTGAATACAATGCTGTGAGTGCAAAGTTTTGAGTGCACTGTATACAATGTTGTGAATGCACTGTATACAATGTTGTGAGTGTACTGTATACAATGTTGTGAATGCACTGTATACAATGTTGTGAGTGCACTGTATACAATGTTGTGAGTGCACTGTATACAATGTTGTGAGTGCACTGTATACAATGTTGTGAGTGCACTGTATACAATGTTGCCTCTGTAAATGGTATTGTATTATGGTATTATTGCCTGTACAAAATTATTCTCGTTTTAACTTGTGTAAAGATTTTATGCTCATCAACTTTACAAGTAAAGAATAAGAAGGAAGCAATGATCTCTTTATTTTCCTTCACCTGCTTCACTTGTCTCTTTTTGAGGTCCAGAGTGTCACATTCTTGTGTCACAGTGTAGTGCCACATTCTTGTGTCACAGTGTAGTGCTACATTCTTGTGTCACAGTGTAGTGCCACATTCTTGTGTCACAGTGTAGTGCCGCATTCTTGTGTCACAGTGTAGTGCCACATTCTTGTGTCACAGTGTAGTGCCGCATTCTTGTGTCACAGTGTAGTGCCACATTCTTGTGTCACAGTGTAGTGCCACATTCTTGTGTCACAGTGAAGTGCCACATTCTTGTGTCACAGTGTAGTGCCGCATTCTTGTGTCACAGTGTAGTGCCGCATTCTTGTGTCACAGTGTAGTGCCACATTCTTGTGTCACAGTGTAGTGCCACATTCTTATGTCACAGTTAGGTGCCACATTCTTGTGTCACAGTGTAGTGCCACATTCTTGTGTCACAGTGTAGTGTCACATTCTTGTGTCACTGTGTAGTGCCACATTCTTGTGTCACAGTGTAGTGCCACATTCTTGTGTCACTGTGTAGTGTCACATTCTTGTGTCACAGTGTAGTGCCACATTCTTATGTCACAGTTAGGTGCCACATTCTTGTGTCACAGTGTAGTGCCACATTCTTGTGTCACAGTGTAGTGCCACATTCTTGTGTCACAGTGTAGTGCCACATTCTTGTGTCACAGTGTAGTGCCACATTCTTGTGTCACAGTGTAGTGCCACATTCTTGTGTCACTGTGTAGTGCCACATTCTTGTGTCACAGTGTAGTGCCACATTCTTGTGTCACAGTGTAGTGCCGCATTCTTGTGTCACAGTGTAGTGCCGCATTCTTGTGTCACAGTGTAGTGCCACATTCTTGTGTCACAGTGTAGTGCCACATTCTTGTGTCACAGTGTAGTGCCGCATTCTTGTGTCACAGTGTAGTGCCGCATTCTTGTGTCACAGTGTAGTGCCACAGTCTTGTGTCACAGTGTAGTGCCACAGTCTTGTGTCACAGTGTAGTGCCACAGTCTTGTGTCACAGTGTAGTGCCACAGTCTTGTGTCACAGTGTAGTGCCACAGTCTTGTGTCACTGTAGTGCCACATTCTTGTGTCACAGTGTAGTGCCACAGTCTTGTGTCACAGTGTAGTGCCACATTCTTGTGTCACAGTGTAGTGCCACATTCTTCAAAACCTGCCAGTCACCCAGCAAATTGTTTCTCAATTGTGGAGGAGCTCACACCGCCGTCTCCATGGTCTGCCAAGTACGACTGGACGAAATCAAGAAAACAGTAACTGCCAACCCAACAACCAATCAGCCGGCGAGCTTCAGTATCCAGGGTACATCGTTCCGAGTGCTCCCGAGCACTTCTGCTTCTGCTACACAGACGTCCACACCAGGCCAGATCCCCCCTTCCCCCCCCCCTTACTGGGGAACTTGTAAGGTAAGGCGCCGATTGGTCGGCCCAGACGAGCATACTCTCGTGGTAACCCTATCTGGGGGCCACGACCTCTTGCATCCACGGCAGCACCCAGGCCAACTGGCACACACTTCCTCCCAGGCAACGACAGTGCTTCCTCTCGACGTGTTCACGGTTTAGATTCACAGCTTTATCAGTGAGATAGCGTGCAAACATATATTACCCTAGTGGGTCAACCCGAACTGCCAGCCTGAATACAACCAGAGACAGCTGGACAGCCTAACTTACGTAATGGGTATTGCCGGGTATAGCACTCTCTCTCCTCTGCTAAACATTTCTTCCTCTCCAGGTCGGGACCAACCTCCTGTACGGTGAAAGTTCTGAGAGGTATTCGTCCCTTCCTCCCAGTTGGGGCCACAGAACGTGCTTGCGCACTGTGTCACCCTGCCTGACTTGTTTTGCTATGCCGATCCACTGCTAGAACCTCGTGATAGTGCGAGTCAACTGGCAGTTGGGAGTTGCCCTCAAGTAATACCTTCAGGACACACGAATACTTCGTATTTGTGCCGAACCGGGTTCAGTTAGCTTGCTAGGAACAGGAATTACGCCACTGACAACCGAGCTCCATCCCTCCATCCAAACAGGAAAAAAAAACTCCAGCGTACCCAGAACAAGGCCCTGAGATGGATGCTCGATACCCACTGGCAGGACTTCACCACTAGTGAAGCCCTGCATAAGAGGGCGAACATCACGTCTCTGAACACGGTCTGGGACACTATGGGGAAGAAACAGATCACAAGAATCCTCACCTATCATGACAACTACGACACCTTCTTCAGAACACCCTAGTAGACCTAGACATACGCACAACCTCTTTAACCTGATTGACGACCTACCTCCTGCTCCGTCATTTACATGACCCCTCTTTCCTCCTATACTACTACTCAATCACCTAGTTCCAAACTACATAGCCACCTTAACTCTTCTCCCCCTCTTTAGGAGGGGGGGACCTGTTAGCTCCCGTTTACTAGTGCCTCTGTGTAGGGCACAATGCTGATTAGCAAATCCATGACCACAACTGGTGTGAGCCTCCAGAGCACACCCAGCTGAGGGCTGCCATCTCCGTGGGAACGCCGAAAAGACGAAATGTTGTCACAAAAATTCGATTCCTTGCCCCCACTGCTTAGTCTGGTCATAATGTTTAATGCCACGCAGCTGGGTCTAGCCCTGGCACTTTACCTCCTCCTGAAACCCTTCCTCTCAGTCCACTAATTTTTCCCCTATCCCCACTTTCCCATCACCCATTGGGTATCTTGACCTACATTTAATTGATTCATTCACTCATCACACAGGCGACTGCAGCCCAGCCAGCCAACTCTCCAGTCAACCAATCAGCGGTCTCGCCCGCCACCACTCTCATCCCATCCCTGATCAGTGTAGCTGAGAAGATTGCAGGGACAGACGTCGCCAAATATGTGAGAGCATTGAACATGCTGCTCGCCCAAAACAATCTACCTACGATTAAATCCCAGTGGAAATGCTGCAGCCTCAAAATGCTGCTTCAACCCAAACAGACTAGCTTCCAACACCACCAGCAACCGAAGCCATTCCACTACCGCCCCCTCCCCCCTAAGGCGGACTCAACACCAGTTACTCAGGCATCAACATCCACCCAGTCCACCTCCACCCCAGACCAGTCAACCCAACAACCAATGGAAGCCTCAACACCTACCGTCAACAGGCGGGTGACAAAGGGAAAAAGATAAGCCAAAAAACAACAAGTGGAATCAGATTCAGAATCAGAACCATATCCACAACCACGGGAACCAATTTATCCAGACAATTTGGCAAAGATCATTATATACGTGGCACCAAACTTTGATCCAAACCCAAGCAGCTCAAGCACGAAAAAACCTTACTTCCTTCCTTCCCCCATGATGATGACGTCTTCAACGGCAACAACAGCACAAGAATAGTCATCGCCTTAGAATGCAACGGGCTCGTCAAACTCTTCACCAACCACCCTGACTTTCCTCACCCAATCTTTGTCCACCACGAGACCGTGGAACAATATGTAAACCTCAACGCTCTGAAGAGAGAATACATCGACCCGAAATTCAATTTCAAGAAAGGACAAATGCCCTTCTTGGACAAATATGAAGACCCGATGGGAACTCCAATACCAGCGCTGTCATTTGGGAAGTACATGCGAACACCTCCCTGCCAAGACACCACCAAGCAACAGTGAACTCACCTCTCATCATCTCAATAGGGAAGACGCCTCCTCCAAGCCAGACAGAACACCTCAAGTGAACCAGGACGACATCACACCGCCTCACCACTAGCCTCCTGCTGCTGAAGAAGAACTCAAGCTACAGGCATTGACCGAAAAAAACATCTCCAATCCACGGTGTATAGGCCACCGAACTTTCAAGCCTCCTCTATCCACATCCAGATCCTCTTCCAAGAATTTCACCGCCCCATCCTTCTTCCTCCCACCTCCTCTCCAAGCTCTTTGGACATCAAAGCAAAGCAAAGCAACCACTACGCCACGGATACTGTTGACATGTGGCACTTGTGGCACGAGGGACTAAAATCCAAACTGTGCAACTTCCACTTACTCTTACCCACTAAGAAAATACTCTGTAACTACTTGGAAGACCAACAGATGAGGATACCCTTTCAAAACCTTCACTCTGACTACTTCCCTCTCCACTCAGGCGTCCCACAAGGCTCCGTTCTTGCACCAACCCTCTACACACTATACGTAAACGACTTACCTGACCCTCTGCATCCTAAATAAAGGATCCCTGTAGTACAGTCGGGTTCGTTCTCGAAGTACAGTCGAGAATTCCGGGTTCGATTTCTGGGCGAGACAGAAATGGTTGGGCACATTTCCTTTCACCTAATGCCACTGTTCACGTAGCAGTGTTCAGGAGTTAGTCAGCTTGTTGTGGGGTTGTATCCTGGGCGGGGGTCAGTAATTCGGCCTTTAGGGGGGGGGGCGATAAAAGCCAAACGTGTATGAATACACTCTGGCTTCCTGTCCCCGACACAATGAATTATTATTATAAATTATAAATCTCTTACGCTGAGCTACGCCGACGACGTGACAACTAATAACCACACAACACACTGACAACCTCTCACCACTCACACAACACACTGACAACCTCTCACCACTCACACAACACACTGACAACCTCTCACCACTCACACAACACACTGACAACCTCTCACCACTCACACTGACAACCTCTCACCACTCACACAAAACACTGACAACCTCTCACCACTCACACAACACACTGACAACCTCTCACCACTAACACAACACATTGACAACCTCTCACCACTAACACAACACACTGACAACCTCTCACCACTCACACAACACACTGACAACCTCTCACCACTCACACAACACACTGACAACCTCTCACCACTCACACAACACACTGACAACCTTTCACCACTCACACAACACACTGACAACCTCTCACCACTCACACTGACAACCTCTCACCACTCACACAAAACACTGACAACCTCTCACCACTCACACAACACACTGACAACCTCTCACCACTCACACAAAACACTGACAACCTCTCACCACTCACACAACACACTGACAACCTCTCACCACTCACACTGACAACCTCTCACCACTCACACAACACACTGACAACCTCTCACCACTCACACAACACACTGACAACCTCTCACCACTCACACAACACACTGACAACCTCTCACCACTCACACAACACACTGACAACCTCTCACCACTCACACAACACACTGACAACCTCTCACCACTCACACAACAGGATATCAACATAAGAACATAGGAATACGACTGGAGAATACAGACAAATCACACAAAAGCCAACATCACATACTTCTTGTACAATAAACGTGTCAACACAATACCAGTCAGTCTCTACTAACAATCACCAGACCCCCACAATTATACCAGTCACAAAAAACACCACAGTACTGGGCCTGAACCTCGATAACAACCTTCAGATACACACAAACACAGCAAGTAAACACGCACAAGCAACAAAATCCCTACGGATACTATACAGACTCAAACAAACTCACCTCCGCACTAAGATACACCTACACAAAGCCCTAATCCGTCCTCTCATATAACATACGTCCCAGCAGCCCTAATGCTTGCAGCACACTCAAACAAAACAAAACTCCAACGCATCCAAAACAAAGCTCTGAGGTGTATATATACGACACCCGTTGGGACGACTTCGTCACGGGTGGCAGCCTTCCCCTCAGGGCCAACACACCACCCTTAAACATATACTGGAAACACCTGGCCAACAAACAGATACACAGATTAACCACTTACCACCACCACCACAACACATTCCTCACCAACACAATACACAGACACATGAACGCTGACAACCTTCCCAACATACCACAACACCCACCACCCACACCACTGTATACATAATATGTCACTAACCACATAACTTGCCACTAACCCATAACTGTTTAACTTCGACAGCAACTCCACCTAGACCAGTCCAATCCCTCGCCCCCTTCATTTAAAAAAAGAATCTTATGATGGCTGGTCGGGACTTCCGATACCATTGTGGCTTCCTCGACGCTTGGGTGGACATATAGCCTGATTACAAGTCCAGCAGCTGGGTCAAGCCCTGGCACTACACTCTTCCACTGATGCATTTCCTCTCCAGACTGTTCTTCCATCTGTCCCACACTTCCCGCTCACACTTTACCTGTTCAACCGATTGATTGATTGAACAGTTACAGGTATCAGTGGTGGTGGGACAGGTGGGGGAGTATATATACTCTGAGATGGTGAACAGTGGCAAGTATCAGTAGTGGAGGGGACAGGGGTGTGGGGGAGCACCTAAATTATAAGGCGGAGAGCAAGGTGCGCATTATTGCCTCTGACTTCAGCAGGAGCGCACACACTGCCAGAGCGCTCTACACCTGACAATCTGATCCACACTGCTGCTGTCCTGCACACCATGAAGGTACAGTTCCCGCGTGTCTGCTGCCTCCTGCTGCTGCTGATGCTACTGCCGGCGGTCCTGGCCACTGCGGTAAGGCCAACAGCTCTTCCTGGTGGTCCTACCTGTAAACCTCCATGCTTTACATATGACAGTTACCAGCGGAGGTGTGTGTACTCCTGCGGGTCGGACCCAGCCGCAGTGATTAACCCGTGAGGCCCCGCAACCAATCACTGGATAATATATTTGTGACCCACACCCAATCAATGGATAATATATGTGTGACCCGCACCCAATCACTGGATAATACATTTGTTACCAGCACCAAATCACTGGATAATGCATTTGTGACCCGCAGACAATCAGCGGGTAATATGTGTGTGACCTGAAGCAGTCATTACTACTAACAGCGGACGTCACCAACCACAGCAGATGTCACCACAAACAGCTGTCGTCACCAAGAACAGCTGACGTCACTACAACCAGCAGACATCAACGCCAACACTAAAAGCAGACATCACCACCAACAGCATTTGTCGTCACTTACACATACGTCATCACTAGCAGCAGACCTCACCACCAACAGCAGAGTTCGGGTGTATAAGTATATTGGTGAACAGTGGCGGGGGGACCGGGAGGGGAGTATACTCTTAGATGGAGAATATTGTATTCGTTTGTATGTTATTGCCTCTGCAGGAAATTGTGGAGAAACTTACAACAATGCCGTAGTGCTTGAATGTAGGAGATTAAGGACCAATTATATGTATAAGTGTATTAAAGACTAAATTTTTGGATGTAACCTTCAACCTTTCTCAAGGTGAGTGAGTGTGGGTGCACTGTATACAATGTAGTGAGTGCACTGTGTACAATGTTGTGGGTCCACTGTATACAATGTTGTGGGTGCACTGTATACAATGTTGTGGGTGCACTGTATACAATGTTGTGGGTGCACTGTATACAATGTTGTGAGTGCACTGTATACAATGTTGTGAATGCACTATATACAATGTTGTGAGTGCACTGTATACAGTGAACATTGTATACAGCACCTTGAGTGAGAATGTAAGTTACATCCCCAATTATGTTTTAACTACATATAGGATCATTCCCTCCAATATATTGTATTATGGAATTATTGCCTCTACAAGGTATTGTATTATATTATTGCATCTATACTTGATATTATTTTATGGTATTATTGGCAATATACAAGGTATTTTATTATATTATTGCCTCTTTTCAAGGTATTGTATTATGGTATAATTACCTCAGTACAAGGTATTGTATTATGGTATAATTACCTCAGTACAAGGTATTGTATTGTGGTATTATTGCCTCTGTACAAGGTATCGTATTATTGAATTATTGCCGTTTTAACTTGTGTAAAAATTTTATGTTCATCAACTTTACAAGTAAAGAATAAGAAGGAAGCAATGATCTCTTTATTTTCCTTCACCTGCTTCACTTGTCTCTTGTTGAGGTCCAGAGTGTCACATTCTTGTGTCACTGTGTAGTGTCACAGTGTAGTGCCACATTATTGTCACAGTGTAGTGCCACATTCTTGTGTCACAGTGTAGTGCCACATTATTGTGTCACAGTGTAGTGCCACATTCTTGTGTCACTGTGTAGTGCCACATTATTGTGTCACAGTGTAGTGCCACATTCTTGTGTCACTGTGTAGTGCCACATTATTGTGTCACAGTGTAGTGCCACATTCTTGTGTCACAGTGTAACTCTACCAACTCTTACATGGTGTAGAGTTACTAACAAAAAATATTTCACTACCAACATTTCAATATTGAACAGCGCAGAAGTTGGAACAGAAAGTAAAGGTTGCCCAAGAACTCACTTCCCAGGATCTCGTGGTCAAGTGTCAATCACCCAGATTATATTCATGTTCTGAAGCACATACGCAACTGAACAGATCTTTCCTGAAATCTCGGATTCGTTCTCAAATTATTGATGTGGACCTGAATTTAGTACTGAAGGTTGCTAAGGTCAGTCATTAGTTGGGGACCATGATTCACTGCGCCCGACGCCAAGGGTCAACAAGCAACAGTACTCTGCAAGAAGGTCAATACTTGCATTATCAATGTTTTCTTTCTGTTTTGAATGCAAACCCTTGGATTTCTTTGATCGTTGCAGCCGGAAGCGGCTAGTTTATTGTGCACCCTATACCCATCCTGTGAGCGGGTAGTTTATTGTGCACCCTATACCCATCCTGTGTAGTAGTTTATTGAGCACTTCATACTCATCCTGTGAGCCGTAGTTTATTGTGCACCCCATATTCATCCTGTGAGCCGTAGTTTATTGTGCACCCTATACCCATCCTGTGAGTGGTAGTTTATTGTGCACCCTATACCCATCCTGTGAGTGGTAGTTTATTGTGCACCTCATACTCATCATGTGAGCAGTAATTTATTGTGCACCCCATACTCATCCTGTGAGCAGTAGCACAACAAAGATTATAAGGACAAAAAAGCACAGACGCAGCGGAGATTTTTACATTAATAATTTCATCTAACCTGAAGTCTTTATAGGTCTTCAGGGTTAGGAATTCAATGTTGTATTCATTACTAAAGCAGAAGGTGAAGGAATACAATGTTCTTACATATCAAGCCCCGTTATACTACAACTACTTGTATAAAGAGCTGGGGCATACTGACACTATATCTAGTTGATGCCGTTAACGGTGGATAATGTCATTATGCGTGAGGACGTCAGCTGGGTATGGTGACTATAGCTGTCGGTGGTGACGTCAGCAGGGTATGGTGACTATAGCTGTCGGTGGTGACGTCAGCTGGGTATGGTGACTATAGCTGTCGGTGGTGAGGTCAGCAGAGTATGGTGACTAGCAGAGGACCATTATGGTGTATATTGTGACGTCATCAACGGATGGTAATGCGAGCTGTTGGTTGATAGATTGATGAAGATTAAGCCACCAAGAGTGTGGCACGGGCATGAATAGCCCGTAAGATCTGTTGGTGAAGGCGTTAGATATTTATGGTGACGGAAGCAGTGATTGGTTAATCCAGATGTGTCCCGCTGATTGGCTGCGGTTCAAACACGTCTTACCCGCTGATTGGCTGCGGTTCAAACACGTCTTACCCGCTGATTGGCTGCGGTTCAAACACGTCTTACCCGCTGATTGGCTGCGGTTCAAACACGTCTTACCCGCTGGTTGGCTGCGAGTGACACGTATTTCCCGCTGATTGGCTGCGAGTCACACACATCTTACCCGCTGATTGGCTGCGAGTGACACGTATTACCCGCTGATTGGCTGCGAGTCACACACTTCTTAACCGCTGATTGGCTGCGAGTGACACGTATTACCCGCTGATTGGCTGCGAGTCACACATCTTACCCGCTGATTGGCTGCGAGTCACACATCTTACCCGCTGATTGGCTGCGAGTGACACGTCTTACCCGCTGATTGGCTGCGGGTCACACGTCTTACCCGCTGATTGGCTGCGAGTCACACGTATTACCCGCTGATTGGCTGCGGGTCACACGTATTACCCGCTGATTGGCTGCGGATCACACGTATTGCCCGCTGATTGGCTGTTGGTCACACGTCTTACCCGCTGATTGGCTGCGGGTCACACATCTTACCCGCTGATTGGCTGCGGGTCACACGTATTACCTGCCGAAGGGATTCCCAATACAGACGTACACACATCTCTGTTCAGCGCTGTTGAACGTATAGCACTCTCTGCAGACTGGCGGGTAAAAGCCAAAAGGTCGTATTGGATATTTCGGTTTTTTTATTTGATGATGTCTGCGTTGCGGGTCTGGAGCAGCGAGGACCGCCGGCAGCAGCAGCAGCAGCAGGAGGCAGCAGACACACGAGAACTGTACTTTCATGGTGTGTAGGACAGCAGCAGTGTGGCTCAGGTTGTCAGGTGTAGAGCGCTCCGGCAGTGTGTGCGCTCGTGCTGAAGTCAGAGGGAATAATGCGCACCTTGCTCTCCGCCTTATACTTTATATACTCCCCTACACCCTGTCCCCCCACCACTGATACCTGCCACTGTTCACCACCTCAGAGTATATATATTTCCCTCACCATCTTGAGGGTGCAAAAACACTAAATCACTTAATCTTTCTTCCTAATTATGACGTTTTATCAACAATATGAAATCTTCAGATATATGCACATGACGAAAGTATACTATGATAACATGATAAAACATACACACATATAAGCGAGGGTTCACTTCATCCCATCATACTCATTGTTGGAAATGGTTAGTCCTTAATTTAAGAGAGGGATGAAATATATGGTCAGATGATTGCTGCCATTTTTCAGTTAATGATTGTTTAGGGAAACTGTTATCTTCCCTCTGGGTCTAAGGTGAACCATACAAAAATAGGATGCTTGATATTAAATTTATTTGTGTTAATTACTGGGATCAGCTCTATAATGAGTATGGTCTCATGTGTGCATAACCTTCTTCGACCATTGGTGGATGTGATGGTTGTGGAGCAGTTTACATCGTCCGGACGATTCAGGACAATGATGTCGATTGGTATGGTGTCGAGAGTGGTGTTTTTTAATTCCTCCTTCTTACAAATTAGTAAGACGCCTACTAATACCCTGAGTAGGTACTCACATTCATGTGTTTGCAGGGTCGAGCTAGGCTTCTAGCCCCGAGCCTGGCCCTAGGCTTCCGAACGTTCATAGATTAATGCAATAACTCATTTCTCAGGTTTTATTATATTTACATTAAAATTTTCGAATCGAATTAGCTTCAACAACTTCTGCGTGTAACCTGTTCCATTTACTGACAGTTCTACCACTGAAAAAGTTCTTCTTGATGTTTCTATGACTCTGTAGCGTCCTACACCTTATGTTGTTTTCGCTGAATTCCAATGACGTATGAGTACTGGCTTCCCCGAACATACCTATGTTTATTATTATGTGTATTATTGTGCACAGTTACATAGTTACAAAATGGGAACATTAAAGAAACAAGTTTGTTACTTAAAAGCTACAAATTTCTACAAATTCCTGAGACGATGAGCAGGAACTGAGGATGTACTGGGCACATCTCTGGTTTTACCACGGCGCCTCCGTGGTACAGACAGAAGGATGTAAGGGGAAGACCGGGATAATAACACCCAGGACCAGTTTTTCTCCCACGACCTTCAAATTCCTAGTTTTCCGTCTTTGTTTCCAAGTGCACGTGATGCTGACCGTCTTTGTTTACGAGTAATTCCGTCGTATGTTAATATCTCTTGTATTGATATTGTATAACCTCTATATATGGGCCAGAGTATGCGGTAGACATAATAATAATAATAATAATAATAATAATAATAATAAAAATAATAATAATAATAATAATAATAATATTAATAATAATAATAATAATAATAATAACGATAATAATAATAACAATAATAATAATACACAACGAAATCACATTAAGGTGATGTATCAATGAGAAAATCAGTAGGAGATATGATAAGGATTAATATATAAACACACGACTAATCTACGACGTTGCTGCAACGTTGGAGCAAGTATTAACACGTAACAATTGTAACAACCAATAAAGCAAGTTGTAACGACGTTTTATTACATCATAAAACTATATAACAAGGTGCAACAACTTTATTACAAGTTGCAACAACTTTATTACAAGTTGTAACAACTTTATTACAAGTTGCAACAAGGGGATCATAGGGAGCGTTACGTTGTGAGTTTGATAATCATTACTATACTCTGAGTATGCCAGGAGCATCTATGCTCTGGCTACGCCAGGAGCATCTATGCTCTGGCTACGCCAGGAGCATCTATGCTCTGAGTACCCCAGGAGCATCTATGCTCTGAGTACCCCAGGAGCATCTATGCTCTGATTATGCCAGGAGCATCTATGCTCTGGGTACTCCCGGAGCATCAATGCTCAGAGTACGCCAGGAGCATCTATGCTCTTGGTACTCCCGGAGCATCTATGCTCTGGGTACTCCCGGAGCATAGAGTACTCCAAAATGCTCCGGGCGTACGATAACCATATATTATTAATAGTACAAGGGAAATACTACATTAAAACTGAAACAGTGAGACAATTAATACTAAGAATACTTTGGAAAATATACAATAAACAGGTGCAGGCAAGATCCGCATTGTTGCAGATACTTATATATAAATAGTCATGTTGCAGCTTGAAGCATAACCATAACGAGGCCTTCTTGGTTAGTTGGTCAAGTGAGGTGAGGTAAGGTTACCTTAAGATAGGCTTGCTTTGGTTAGGTAAGAATACGCTAGGTTTAGCTTAGCATAGATTTTGACCTGCTTTACCTGATTTACATGACGGCCACTAACATAAATTGCTGACTAGGTACGAAGTGTATTCAACATTTTTATACATCATACAACAAGGTGGAGAGGTGTATATTGGGAAATATCAAACAATATTTACCTTCTTCTTGCA